ACTAATGTAGTCTACAACGGTAATGGAAGAGAATTTCTTTTCCTCCTGATTCCACGAACACAGAGTACAATGAAACATGTATGTATTTGTCTGTCTGAGAGGTGAAAAATGGTATCTCACGGTAATTTTTAAGGACACATGGTTGTACAATGGATTAAGCATTGAATTATTTATCGAAAGGTTTGAGGATTTAGGTTTGAATCCACAGCTTCTCTGAGGACAAAGGTGAGGCTATCTGCTACCACAAAGATTTTCAATGTTAGAAATTTTGTTGGGTTTGTTACAAGTTGGAATGGACTTGAAAACAGTGAGTTTTGGGTTTAACTTTAGCATTTTGTTTTTCAGTTCCCTAGCAGTGTGAGTGGAGCATAAATGTATTCTTCAATTAACCTACAGAATGAATTCTAATTCTGTAATTTTTCACCTTCACTAGTTTGGTACTTATAGATGAAATGTAAATGTTCTATGCAAATAATAGAATGAATATATTTTCTTGGCCAACTTATTTTGGGGTAACTCTGGTAGCATGGGCTGCAGGGAGTTGAACTGCTAACTTAAATGCGGCTGCTCTCTGAGGGTTCAAATCCACCAGCCACTATGAGGGAGAAAGACTGTCTTTTTCCTGTACAATTTGCAGTCTTGGACACCTGCTGGAAGGTTAGCTGTGTGTAAGTTACAACTTAACAGCAATGAGGTGAGGTGAATCTATTTGAGGGGTTCAGAATGGAAGTCTATTCTTCCCTTAGTGTAAACTAGAGAGACATCAAACTGGGAGTGGTCAAGAAAATGACACTGTTTTCAGGGTCAAGAAGCAGAAAAGGATCTACAAACCATCCAATTGTTCACTTCTGTAATTGATCTGATAGTATGACCTGATGAATTAGGGTTTGAGAATTTACTAAGCAGTTGATCCTATAGCTGTGCTATACTGTTGTTGTGGTTGTTGTTACGTGCCATTGAGTAGAATATGACTCATAGCACCCCTTGACTAAGGGGCTTTGAACCTTACTCTATCTGTAGCCAACTTCACCATCTCAGACACACTTGACCCCTTGCCACAGTCACTGCATCAATCCATCTCATATCCTCATTTTTTAGTATCCCAATATGAAAGCTCAGTCTCCAGTGCTATATCTAAGTGTGCTCTATTGTTCACAAGGTTTTTAAAAGCCTGTTATTTCAGAAGTGGGTGGCCAATCCTTCATAACTTGGGAGCTCCATATCTGATAGACAAGCACTGTACCCAAAAGAACTAATGATAGACAAGCAAACATACACATCTAAGCTATTAAGAACATCAACATGAAAGCATTTCTTCATATAGGAATTTGATTCCCAAAAGAAATCAACTGCTGTCAAGTTGATTCCAACTCAGAACAACACTGTAGGACAAAGTAAAATGGCCTCATAAGGCTCTCGAGGTTGTTTTTTAATTTTGTGAAAATTCTTATATTTTTCTAGCAATTATATATTATGCTGAGTTAAAAATATAGACCACTTTACGAATTTACATGTCATCCTTGCGCAGGGGCCATGCTAATCTTCTCTGCATCGTTCCAATTTTAGTATATGCGCTGAAGCGAGCACTCAAGGTTGTCAATTTTTATAGCAGACTGCAACATCTTTCTCCCACAGAGTGCTAGTGGGTTCAAGTCACCACACTTTCATTTAAAGCCAAGCCTTTCAAAGAACGTTCTCACCAGGGTTTCCCCTTTGCTAGAGATTCAATGGTGTCAAATTAACCTTCACCATAATGAACCATTGTTGTTATTGTTGCTGTTGATTGCTGTCAAGTCGAGCATGACTCATAGCCACTCTGTGAACAAAAAACCTAACGCCTTTCCATAACTATTGGCATTTCTCCAAGTTCATAGGGTTTCCAGAGACATGTGGTTTAAGAATTGGATGCCACTCCTGCTTCCAAACCTGTTTGACACATGGGAGCTCCACCAAACACTGTCTATAATGGAAAACCATTATGGTATTTGATACCCCAATGGCACAAGGTTCAGCATCACAGCAAAACCAGGTTACTTCATACAGCACATTGACAAAGAGTGATGTACAAAGTGGAAGAGTGTTCCTCCAGTTATAACAGCACTAGTCTCATTTAGCAGTGGTTAATTGTCATCAAATTGATATGACTTGGAGTCAGCTTTGCACAAAAGATCTGAACTCTCTTCTATAACTAACATAATTTCTTTACATTTAGAGAGTTTGGAGAGTTTGTAGAGTTTCCAGAGGCAGCTAGTTTAGGAAGTGGATGCTGCTCCTGTTTCTCAGCATGAATCAATCTGGAAGCTCATACAAACACTGTACATAATGGTTAATTATTATGATATTTGACATGGCTAAGGAATAGTGTTCATCATCACAGCAACTCCAAGTTGTTCAGTACAGCAAATAGACAAAAGGTTGCTGTGTCATTTAAAGAATATTCATCCTAAAATTAATGAATCCTTCAGGATTTTAAAGCCACATATTAATCTATAGTGTAATTTATATAGGGGATACATATATAGGACACTAAAAAAGGATGAATAGTTGCAAACAGCCCCTGCAATGGAATGACACAGTGGCTGTGGCAAGGGGTGAGGTGTGTCTGAGATGGTGAGGTTGGCTCAGGACTGGGCAAGGCTCAGAGAACATTGTTCATAGGGTTGCTATGAGTCATATTCTTCTCGATGGCAATAGCAACAAAAACAGTACGGTACAGTTACAGGATCAACTCCTTAATAAATTCCCAAAACCTAGAATTAATCAGTAATATAGCTAAGCATTTGGGGGGGGGGGCGCGGAGAAAACCTGGAAACATCTTCAAACATAAAAGCCATGGTTATCCCTTAGACTTCTTTCTCCAGACTAAAAATGTATTTTATACTGAGCTTCTGAAGATATTACTCCATCAGTTAAAGGCTTCCCTCATGTCTTGCCCTATACTATTCTCGAACCCCTAAACAGCTTACCTTGAGTCTCTATCGTTGTAGAATCCGACAGGCCATCTTGTTCCTTCTTACAAAGTGATCTACTGTCGAGGTCACCTGAAGCCATATTCAAAACTTCTGAGCTGGAATCTGTCAACAGGAAGAAAACCAATAGTGTGAATACTATGCAAAAGGAGCATTTGCCTGTGTTTTTCTCATTTGCACACATCTCAACAAGTTATACAGCATCAGGCTTTTCATCACAGTAGCAGCATTCTGGTTGGGTTTGGTTGGGTTTTTTTAAATCAAGAGTCAGGTAGATTGTCAACTAAGGATCCTGTACCCATCAAATATGAAGGAGAAATAGCATCCTTTACAGAAAAGAAAGAACTTAAGGAATTTATTAAAAAAAAAAAGAGTCTGGTAGAGCTGGGTTTAAAATGCTTAATGGCTGCCCAAAACTTTGGTGATTTGAATACATAAACTTCTCCATGGGAGAAATAATCCCCTTGTGGAAATTATTTCAGCCTTGGAAGCCCTGTGGAGTAGTTCTAGTGTGTCCTATATGTCACTATGAGTCAGAATGAACTTGAAAGTAATGAGTTTGTTCTTTAAGTTATTTTCCTGTCTTCTCCAAGCCCACTCACCACTCGAGGTTACAGTAGTATCTGTGGATGAAATGTGTCCAGGTAGTGGTAGTGTGGAATGTTCCCTGAAAAAAACCAGAAGAAATATTTTGGAAGATTAGATCCAGATAATTATCTTAATGATTAAATGAATATGCATGTACAAACAAATATTCAGACAGACCTTGACTGTGGAAGGTTCTCGGAACCCAAGTGTTCAATACCATTCTCCTTAAGGAAAAGGAAAAAAAAATGGAGAGGAAAAGTTCAACAACTTGACATTTTACATTCCAGAGAGGTTGTTTTAAGCAAACATTTTTATACAAGTTGAAATGAAGCCACATTTACTTTGCTCTTTTAGAGAGGATATGGGAACAGGATGGTGGAGGGCATACTGATGTACACACATCCTAAAAGCTATATTTACTCCCCACTAAAATCCAATTTTAGCTATATTTATAAGGTTGATATTTAAAGAAAAACTGATAAATTTGGAGGCAAAATACGTTTTAAACGTAAAGAGCAGTTAGGGTTTCTTTCAGGAGCTTATGCTTTCTTTAAACAGAACGTCCTATTGGCATGAAACAGCATTTTTACTTCTAGAAATATAATTCAACTTAAAGCTTTTAACCTGGTGCTTTAAATACAAGATTCTCTAGCTAGACAAATCATGTGTTTTAACCACAACCCATATCTCCAAGACTCAGGGGATAAACTTAAGTCAGAATATACTACCTCAAGCTCAAGAAGAGCTTACCAGGAATTATGGTGCCCATGTACCAACACAATTATCTAAAAGTCTCATTTAAACATTTTAGCCTCTACCAGGAATGTTTAATTTGGGAGAATTTCAGGACTTCAGGTTAGACTGTTCCACTTCTCTTTCAAAACAGTCAGTGACTGTCAATAATTGGAAACTGAATCACACACACACATGCACATGCGCGCGCACACACACACACACACACACACACACACACACACACACAACTTGTACAGACAATGCAAGAATGAAGACATGTAAATATTCCCTAATCAAACAGCGAACACCTTAGTAACCATAATAACCAAAACGTATCTGTGCTGGGATGTTTTATGTCATACAAAGTGTGTAGAATCTATTCAAGATAATATTGACCACAGTTTTGCAAAGGTAAGGATTTTGAAAGAGTAGGTTAGGTTTATAGTTACCCAGCATAGATAGAAATTATAGCTTCTGTTTGTGTAGCTCATTGAAAATCTCAACAGCCCAATTAGATATAATCTGATTTAATGCTCCTAACAATTTTATGCAATAGGCTTTAGCCAGAAAAAAAATCTATTGCAAGTAATTTCTCAAGAGCTTGCAAATGGTTGAGCCAGCCTTATAACCCAAGTGCACCTAAAAACAGTGTCCTGTCCACTGTAAACACAAAGGAGTCTCTCCATTTTCTGACTCCAACTTAAACTGTTAGGAAGGCAAAGACAACCCCGTTACTTGTTTGGATTGTTGTTGTTGAGTATCATTGAGTCAGCATTGCTCCATAGCTGACCCTCCAGGGGATTTTCAGAGGCAGTCAATCACATGCGAGGAGATAGCCCATCCCCTCCTCCCGCAGAACAGCTAGTAGATTCTAAACAAGTGCCTTTGGGATTGCAGCACAGTTTCTTACTACTAGGCCACCAGAGCTTCCTGGTTTAGGTTAGCAGAAGACATAAACTTTTAAAATTATCACCTCAAATGTTGGTTATAATCTGCAAACTTGCTGAACTAGACTTCCACTTACTCCTCACATATAGGTGCTCTGATGGTGTAGACCATTGAGAGCTGCACTTCTAACTCAGTGGTGATGCCTCTCTGAGGATAGAAAAGTGGAAATGTCCCTCAGTTTTAGTATCATAATTCATTAAAAAATGAATGCAAACTGAAAATTAAAGTCCATTTAGCACTCCATAACATCAAAGCCCCTTTAATATGTGGTCTGAAATAAAACTTTTTACTGCACTTAACAAGACCTAGGCAGATCATGGAAAATATCATCTACAGGGTTTTTTAATCAAGCCAAGGAGTGAAATGAGACATTGATTACACACAAACAAACAGAAGTTCAGACAAGAGACTGACTTACCTGTAGACGCTTGCTCCAGTCAGTGAGTATAACAGCTGCTGAGAGCAGAGAGGAGGAAGAATGTGCTCTCTCTCTAAGCCATTCAAATATTAAGCTGCATAACATTTACATGAAAATGCCATGGTCCAGCCCATTTTGTTTTGACATTGAAAGGCTAATGTAGGGTGGGGTAGTCAAAGGATGCATGGAACAAAGTGAGAAAGATTCTCCCATGGGCTGGGCCAGCAAATGCAAAACATACTCACACACACACACATCTGGGAGAAATATATAAATTTAAGTAATAACTTTGTAGGACATTAAGGCAATTATTCAGCTGAGATAATCTCCCAAGATTCCTATTTTTTTTCTCTGCTAGTTAAAATGACACTTTTATTACAGATGTGATGGTCAGAAACCCTTCTAGTAATACACATTCATGTAATCTTTATCATTTGATCTATATTAGATAATTGACACCAATCCAAACATTAATGTGACTTTCTGAGAATTGTGTATTCTATAGATCTTAAATAAAGAGGATCTATATGGATCTATTTTGTTCTAACTGAAAAGCAAAACTAAACCCTGACTCCACGTCAATTCCAATATTCTGAGAAGTGAAATTTAACCTTAAAAGACTATAAGAACTGAAACCTAAAAAAAATGAAAATTTCCTCACAAGATTCCCACCCCAAGTTTTTAACTAAAAAATACCACACCCTCACCCTCAGATCTAGAGGAACACCACCCACTTCGAGGTTCATTTATAGTGCAGTTATCAGTCAACTAATATGTCTCCCAATTTGGCAATTGCCAATGTTATTTATTCTCCTAGGTTATGAAGGCTGCACCCACACACAACTTGAAAGAACAGGACAGACAATCTTCTGAGATGTTTTTAAATTGATCCTGTTCTTTGCCTCACAAATCACCTCCTCCCTGGGATAACATGAATTTACACAAAAACACGTAAGAACATGATGTGATCCTTAAAGGGATAGTATGACATTTAATGTTTTGCTTTTCGAACAAAAGATGAAGTAGGAAATTAGTCTCTAGATCCATAAAGTATTAAAAATAATCTCTGAGTTTCACACTGCTGCTCATTCTGATGTGTTATGACAGTAGCTCCTCCCATGTTACTATATTTAAGATGAATCAGGTCATTCACATGTGTTACAAAGCATCTTATTGAGATGTTATGATAGAACTTTATCCCCATAAAACATGCGTTATAAATCCTGACTCCCACATTAATGACTATAATTTCATTTGGTAACAGGTTGTCTTTGTTATTTTAATGAATCAGTATTTGTACAGAGTGGTTTTAAATCAATGTCTTTTGTGATGTAAAAGAGTAGACAGAACAGGACCTCCACAAGAAAGAGATTGAAAACAAAGTGGGCAAAAGACATGGAAACAACTTTCACAGAGGAAATATCTAGATGACCAACAGACACAGGAAGAAATGCTCAAACTCACAGGCCAATAAGAGAGAATGAAAGTCAAACCCACAATGACATATCATCTCATTCCAGTAGCAGTGGCAAAGTTTAACAGGACAGCAAGTTACAAATGTTGGAGAGGATGTGGCAAGATAAGAACTCTTATATATTGTTGGTGGGATTGTAAAATGATACAACTACTCTGGAAGGCAATTTGGCCCTTTCTCAAAAAGCTGAACATAGAAATTCCATATAACCCAGCTATTCCACTGCTTGGAATATACCCTGAAAAAATGAGAACTGAGGCACAAGCAGAGGCTTGAACACCAAGTTCATAGCAGCATTACTCACCATCCCAAGAACATGGAAATAGCCCAGATGTCAAACCACAATTGAATGGATTGAGAAATTATGGTACATTCATACAATGGAATACCACAAAGCACACAGGACCAATGATTTTGTAAATCACTACTTAACTTGGGAGGGACTGGAAAGCATTATGCTAAGTGAACTAAATTCGATATGGACAAATTCTGTATAAAACCATTATTGTAGAATAAGTATGAGGATCCAAGAGGAGGGGATAGGGTAGGAACAGAGGGGTGAAGAGGGGCAGGTGTAATCATAGGGTCATACAATTTGATAGGTGGAGGGTGGAGTGAAGGTAATAGAAAAACAATGTGTGAAAAACAATGTATAGGAACTTTGTGAATAAACTAGTATGGGGTTAAAAGGCAGGGGGAGAGTTGACAGAGTAAATAAGCAACCAAGTATAACTGAAGGGTAGGAATATATGTTTCACATAATTCCCACAGAACATCAGAACAGAAGCTGAAAAGAGACAGCAGTGACCTTCCCTCAGGGTAGATAGAAGATCTCCTGGAGCTGCAACCCTGAATTTGGACAGCTAACTCTCAATTTTGAGAAAATAAATTTTTGCTTATTAATGTCACCCAACTGTGATATTTGTTATGGTATTAGTGTGTTATGGCCCTATTGTTGTTATGTGTCAACAAACCGACCCATAACTGACCCTACGGGTTTTCAGAGGCAGCTAATGGCAACAGAGGAAATTGTTCTTTCTCCCACAGAACAGCTGGTGGATTCGAACCATGTGTCCTTGGGATTACAGCGCAGTTCCTTCCCATTAGGTCACCAGAGCTCCCTAATAGCACTAGATAACTAAAATATAAAGAACTGGCTTAATGGCCATGATTAAGTAATGGCAATATTCAGTAATAGTTGACATGAGACTTTAAGAGTGGAATCGAGTCCAGTAACCATTACTGAAAATTTTGATCAAAGAATATATAAATATGACCTACCCTACTTGGCTTGTTTCCATGTACTGGATATGTCAGAACTTAGCTGTTGCAGTGCATATGTGTGTATGTGTGTGTGAGTATGTGTGTGTGTGTGAGTGTGTTATTTTAATCCTTTTAAGAATCCTCTAAACCACTGTTTCTGCTTCACAAGTAACACAAGTATATTCAGAGAAGTTGAGTCAACTTCCCAAATTCACTCAGTTAATAAGTAGTAGCAACCTTAAGTATAGCAACTTGCTGCTTAAATTTCTTTAGTTCCTTCAGTTTAAGAAATGTCAAGTGAGTTTTAGCCCTTTTGATTTTCTGACTCTAGCTCTTGCACATTTCATTATAATACTTTGTATTCCCGAGATGCCTTTTGATGTCTT